CTGTAAACCAGCAAGATTTCACAGAGTTCCTACAGGGTTACATCACCATAGAGCAGCTGAAGTACCCGACCAACAATTTTCTTTGTTACATTTATGATAGCAAACACCAATAGAAATTTTCCCAGCGATAAACTGTTCAAGCTAAGAGAAGCAAGTACGAAGTCTTTAACTGCAAGACTGCAAGATCTGAACCTCTGCTGATTTAACACAGAAAAGACACATGCTGTAGCATTCTCTCCATTTTCTAGAATGTCCACATCGGGAAATTGGAATTCACACAATGCTTGCTGTGCTCCTACAACAGGCATGGAGCTAACAGAAAACAGATGAGCTTCTTTAGAAAGAAACCTAGATGAAAATTCTAAGATATACTTGAGATAGCCTAGAACATTTTCCCCGAGTAGAAAAATATTATTATTCCTAACAGGTAGCATTACTCTGTGAAACCTCGCTGTCCCTTCCTGCATCCGAACATTCAGTGCAGTTCTCGCAACTGCTATTCCTAGTGACAGTGCAGTTCTCGCAACTGGGAGAACTGCACTGTCACTAGGAATAGCAGTAATACCCTATAAAATCCTTCTCTGACAGAAAGCCCCAACTGAAGAAATGGGTTTCCTGTCTGCTTGTCTGGCTAGCATAAGCTCAAAGCAACTAGGTAGTAAGGTCAAGCATGCTGTTGACAACCCTACCTACATGGAAAGTACAGACAGACATGCACAATCTAAAGTCTTCAGCAAGGCTTTTGAAAACATGTACTCCCAAAACAATTGCAGAAAGCCTGCGGACTTCATATATTTGCTTTATATTTCATATATTATATTTGCTTTATATTTCATATATTTGCTTTAGATTTCCAGATATTTCTCAGAGCATTAACAGAGGCTCCAGCCAGCAAGGTTTGTTTTCCAATCAACAGAGAATTTATTTTCTTATTCCACACCAAGACAGTTCCTTAGTTACCTCAAATTCTTATAACACATTTAAAGTCAGGCATACATCACAATCTGGATATGTGGAGTGCACCACAGATCTGTCATAACCACAACAGATCCAAAACATCTTTGAATTTGCTCTATTATTTTTACCTAGATGTCCTTCGTGGCAGCCAAATAGCCATCTGGTTTAGTAGGTTGTTTCTTATTTTGTAATTCACACAGCTAAGCAATCAATATCTGAGAGTGTGCCCTTTTAATCTGCCTATTAATTCTAGACATTTTTCCAGCAAGGAATCCTTGACCACCAAAAAGGCCAAGGCACTTGAGAGGCTGGCTGATAGGAGTGCTGGAGACACCCGCAGATACTGCTGGGGGAATGAATCTTTCCACAGCCTTCCCTGAAGATGTGCTGTGGCTGGTGTACGTGGAACTGCAGATCAACCTGTGGCACTGATGCTTGCTGAGAGGCTTAGCTATTCCAGCTCTGAGATACAAACACTCCGATGATCTGGGAAATGAGATGATGACTGAGCATAAAATTAGCATCACAGTGACAATGGAATGCTTCAAAAATGTTTCAGAAGTCACTGAAGTTGCTAATTTGTGCTAACATATCTCCATTTGTTATTCTACCAGGAAAAAAAAAAAATTAGCATTTGCAAATTCATATTTGTTTCAGAAAAGAGGGGTATGAGCTCTAACCTTAGTATTTGTGTTGTAGCTGATAGATCCCAGTAAAACTGTACAATTGATAATGTTGTAATTTCGTTGTTTCTCATGAAAGCATACAGCACACCACTATCTTTGCAGGCAGTTCTTTATTTCTTGCCTTCTTACTCACTCTTTATCATCACTGCTACATATTTCTGAAAACTGGTACAACAGTGTCCAATTAACATGCATGGTTTTCTAGTAAAGAGGAGCAACTGTACCGAGTTTAATAGAAAACAGAAAGTTCAACACAAAGCTGTTCTACACTGTTAGTTAATAACAAGGTTCAGGCACAACTTCTTTGTGCATCAGTCTTCATCCTTTAGCAGTCCCAACAAAGTCACTAGGGCTACATATGAAAGTGAGACGCTATCAATCCAAGGAAAGATGTGAGAAAAGGAACACATTTCCAAAGCTTATTCCATCACCAATCTCAATGGAAATAACTGTCAAATTTGACTATACTGGGGGAGCCATTTTTAACATGGGAGCAGGCGGCACATGACAGATGGCAAGGTGTAAGAGCATCTTTCAGTGAGAGACAGTGTCTGAGTAAGGACAGATTCTGCAACTGAATGTGCTGTGAGGAACAGCCGGCTTGAGCAGTCAGCATGAGGGAAGGGCTCTGTGTTTTGCCTGCTAAGAGTCTAATTGCCTTTTCTTTTCTTCCACCTTTATTTTTTAATATATCTCAGCCAAATAAAGATCCAAAGTACATAGAGGGCGAGAAGGAACATTCTGACTACCTGATCCACCATGGAGGATTCTGGATATGTAAATTATTTAACTGCTACTGAAAAACAATTATGCTTCCCAGGGTAAACAGGCCAGTTCTTTATGTGACATAAAGTACTTAACAGCATCAATGAAGCTGTATTGATTTAACATAAATGCACATATGGATTTTTTCTACTTGGGACTCGATGACTTATTTTTGATTTCTTATCAGTTAAAAGCACAAAGCCCCAGATGACAGGGAAACATTACAACTGCAATATTCGCAACCAATTAATTAATCCTCTAAATTTCAATGTGTAAAAGGGTCCATTTTTTGTTTATAATTTGTTAGCTATATGAATAGCAACTGGCCTCCAGTAGTGACCTCTAGGAGACACATTCCTATTCAGAGAATGACCAGAAAGGTTACAGCCTCTGCATTATATTGAGGTTTTGTTTTATTAGATGGCCATCATCTTCCAAAGTTGGCAGATTTTGCCTATTACACTTGTATCTATCTACCCTGAAACAATCTTCTCCCCATACTACACAGACACCAAACCTTCATAAAAGCAATTTGTGATGGATTTACAGAAATATATAATCATTGTCCTCACAACCCACATCAAGGTATGCCAGAACTTGCTACCTGTGAATAAATCAGGACTCAGCTGAAACCCCCAGCACCACAAAATTTATTTCCAGTGGAAAGATGGATGTTAAGCATAACTCATGATGTATAAATCTGTGCATCATTACAACATTTATTTAACTTGTTCCTTCAAAGTATCATCCGTGAGAGTGCTCAATAGCAAGGTGAAGGACCATCTGCAGACTTAAATCCTTTGAGAAACCACACATGTACGGTTAGAACTGAAACTATTCATGAGAGTGACAACAGTTTTGTCTTGTTCCTTTTTCCACATCCTCTGTGATTTGTATCTAAAATAGACCTACTTTTAAATAAAATCTGAGCACTCAGTTTAACTGCACATAGTCTTCCTATCTTTGGTTTGTGTTCTGTGACTAAATGTTGCTGTCACTCTAGCAAATAATGTCTCTTCTAATGACAGGATTTCTCCCCCCAGTCCTGATTTGTCAGAATTCCCAGTAATTTCAGGGGAATTTTGACTGAACAAAGACTACAGGCCATGTTGAAATTTGTAGAAATTTGGCCACTTTCCATTTCTTGCAGTATTTACAAAGCATTTTGTTAAACAGTATGTTTTCTGATTCTTAATTAAATGATTTGATATGTTGTTTGGTTTTAAACACTCAGCCTGAATGAATACATATAAATATTTTGTGTATGTGACATGCAAGTATTCCTTATGTGAAATTCAGACAACAAATTACAGATCTCTTGAAAAATACACTTTTCATGTACTTCTTCCTCTCAAAATGTTATGCATTGAAAAAGAACAGATTACATCACACTGTGTGGATTGCTAGTAAGAGAAAATACAACAGAGAAACATAATTGATTATTCCTATTTTGTTTTATACTATTTATAACAGTTGTCCATACACACATACTCAGAATTGCCAATGCTATTTCACAAGAACTTGGTCAAACACCAGTGTCAGAATAGTCCAGTTGGTGCATATCACTACAGGCCTACATTTTTTCATATCACTACGTTTTTCTCTGCTCTTACTCTTATTTTGTTGACAAGAATCTAAGTAATATTCATGTAGGATGTCAGAGCAGCTCCAAGTTTTCACAGTTCCTCTCTTTTTGCATCATTCAAATGGATTTTCTTCCATGCTTCTCCCTGTTAACTGCTCTTTAGCTATGTCATTAAGAGTACATCAGACTGCTTTAATTTGCTACTACTATCTTTCATAAGATGCCTATGGGGTCCTGTAAGCTATGTCTTCCAGAGAGTGTCTCTGGCCAACACAGCAGCCTGAGGATCTGATAGCTGCAATACGGCATTACATTAGGTGATATACAAAAAGTATTAGGATATAGATTGACACTGGATGTTACAGAAATGTTGGGGTTAACTTGAAGGTGCAATGCAGAGGTTAGAAGTCTCTGTTTAAAACACATCAAAATTCACATTATATAGGTTTTCACTGTTAAGAGAGCAAAGGTTTTTATTCTTAGAACTGCTCAACAGAACTTACAGTTGGAGTTTACCCTTAAAGTATGAATAATTTTAGAGAGATAAGGAATCAAAACTGTGTTGCTATCAGATATGGCACAGAAGAGAAATGAACAGAAGATATCATCAATCAAAGGTAAAACACTTGTCGTATAAATGCATAGATTCTCAATTAGTGAGTCAGTTAGTGGCATCCAAGAAAAAAAGCCTGAAAGTTACTCTTCCTCATCAGCAATTAAACTATTCTGGCAATCTCATTTGACATAAGGACTAAATATCTGTTCATTTTACTTAATCAAAAGGAAAAAAAAAAGTCTTCTTTGATTTTGTCCTGATAAACATTATTTCCTGATCATAGTCCTCAAATCTGCAGTGACTCCAGCTACAGCTGAGCACTTAATAGGGTTTTAAAAAGTAAGACTCCTATCATTAAACCTATCTAGCAGTTCTCTGCACTGTACAGCTCCCATATCAGTACATTCCCCACATCTGTTCCTTCCCATTTTCTCCATTATAGCTACTTTACCTTCTTAATCTCAGTTGTAACTGGACTCTTCATCTCCTCTCTCCTTCCAAGGCGAGGTAGGGAGAAGTTGTCATGGATTTGTCACCCACCTACCCTCTTTTTAGTCCTCCTTGGAAAAGGAAAGGAACTGAGCAGAGGAGGTGCTCTTCACCTCAAATGGAGAGACAGGCAGAAGGACTGGAGGAAAATAGAAGGAAAAAGAGTTACCTCAGTTGTTCCACTCCTTGCTTCCTAAGGACAGGACATAGAGAAAGAAAAATTTTGCCTCCTACAGCAGCAGTTATGAGCTACTCAAAGGGTGTGTCAGATGGGACAATCAGCCTTTCAGGAAGGGTTTTCATCCTGGAAGCACGCATTACTTTGCCCACCTACATGCTTTTAATATGTATTATTTTTCATCCTGAAACCCGGCATGTACCTGAGCACTGGTAATGCCTTTCAGAGTCATTTTTTTTCCCCCCTGCAAAGGAGAAGATAAAGAAGGGGAAAAAATAAAAAATGAAAAGCAAAGACACCAGCTGCAGCTTAGCAAACTGCTGAAGTTATTTAAGTCATTAGGCGTGAATAGAGAAGAAATATCTCAAGTCAATACTCATTAGTACCAGTAAATATGTTATTCAGTATTATTTTCCAAGTAAACTGAAGTGAAATCTGCATAATAAAAGGCTAATTGACAGAGGAGCAAATGTACAAAGTAAGTAAGCTCAGAGAAGAGCTTGCTGAAGAGGCTAAATGCCATTGATGTGGCTGTTCAGAGCAGGCATCTGCTACCGAGTGTTTCACGTTTGTTCCAAGGACCTGCTTTTGTTCTGTCATGCTCCCAAAGCTCAATCTGAAGTCAGGAGGCACTGAGGGCAGGCCAAATGCACAGAAGCTATCACATGCAGCATGCTCGCTGCCAGCTGTCTCCTGAGGAAAGTCACACAGGGCCCGCAGAGGAGACCAGGCAGCCACACAGGACAAGGTGCCATGCCCTGTGCTGAGCTGGCCTCTCTGCCATGCAGTGGGGGGTGCTGTGCTGAAGGGCATCCAAAGGCAATGGCAGGCACAGGTGGCTCAGCTGAACCACCTTTCTGCACCTTTCTGCGCCCTGCCTAGGTGTTTTCACATTCCTCAAACTGGAGGAGTCCTGTCCAGTGTCCTGGCGTGTCGAAGGGACACAGGTGTGTGGTGTGTGGAGGGGCTTCTTAAAAAAATAAAAATAAAAAATACAAATGCAAGTAAAAATACAAATACAAGTAAAACAAATCTGAGGCATATGATGACCTCCAGAGGTCCCTTCCAACCTTAACCATTCTGTGATATACACAGGTTGAGTCTATGCATTAAGGGTACAGGGAATTTGTGTTTTCTGGAAGATAAGAGACAGTTCTCTCTTGCTCAAGGGACAGGCCCCACTGGCCCTTCCCTTAAGGCAGAGTTGTCTTGCAGAGTGGAGAGCTTTCATGGTGAAAGACAAGCTTAGAGGGCGTGCAAAGGATCCTCCTGAAACCAGGGTGCTAAATCCTACTTAAAGCGCAGACAGCAAGAGCAGAGAGACAGTGCTGAAGATGATCTGAGTCCTCAGATTAGAGAAGTGAAGAGTCAACTGTGCTTGCACCTGCCCTACAGGAGTGCCACAGGAGCCACAGTTTTGGTCCCAGTTCCTTGGACTCTGGGGTCTCAAACAAGTCTGAAGATGCTGAATGGATCTGTCAGGAGCTGCTATCTGTTAGCCCTGTGCTAAGTTACAGAAAAATATCTACTAAATCATAGACTATTTCTTTATCAAAAGACAGCAAAATTCTTCTGAATATCAAAAGAATTCATTATAACATGTCACTTACTATATATATATATATTTTTTTTTACCTTAAAGGACATGAAAATAGAAACAAAATGCTAATTTCATGTACTTCACAATGCTTTATAATTCAAAAAGGAATTGCAAATGTGATGTAATTTAATATCATTGTCACAAATTGCACTGTAAATGCTTTAAAATTAAATAATCACTGCTAAATGTTATATGATTACATACATTTCTCATATACCCAATTTATACCATATTTCTTAAGCATCTATCCTATTATACTAACTTAGGAATATATATTTAAACTCAAATATCTAACTATTCACTTTGATTTACCTTCTGGTTTAAAATTAAGTCAAGTAAAAATAAATATTAGGCATTGGAATAACAATTGCAAAGGGCACAAGTGACTCTGAAGCCAATGTGATATTTTCAGAGCTTAAATCCAAAACGTCAAACACACAAACTGAAATATCTTTGTAAAATGGTCATGAAGATAAGGTAAAAAATATTCCCTTTGCAAACTTATTGGAAATCTACATTAGAATGGGAGAGTACCAATACATTTAATAAAATTCAAATTTTGCTGAGTACAAAGCAGATGTAATCACAAAACAGACCTTGCAAACTCAGAAGGAATGTAGACAATCACAGCAAGAGGGATCATGGCCATTACACACACTGCTGTATAAACCATGGCACAATCCATCCTGCCTATATCAGGTGAGCTGTTGAAAATACAGACTCTTATTTTATAAGTACTGTATTGCATTTTACTAGCTGTACCGTGTAGTTCATTTTGTACATTATATGCAACCGAATGAAAATTAATCTGTTTTTCTGTGTTTATGAATCAGATTGACATTTCTGTCAACACCCACTAAAAGTCATGCAAAACATCTCACAAATTTTTGTCTTTCATTCAAAACTCATCTTCACTGGAAGATATGTGTAAAAATAAAAGGAGAAAGACGGAAGAAAAAAGATAATCCTGATACAGTGATATAGTGCCTTGCTACCAACATGCACATCATTCAAAATGGACTTTTCTGCCCGATTCTATGCAGTGCTGTGAGATGAAAAGACAAGCTGTAAATGCAATGCCTGTACACAGCACGTATGTCTATTCATCCTGCCAGCAGGCAGTGTGTCAGGAGGGACTGGGGCAGTGAGGCCCTCTTTTGCTCATGCAGAACCTGTCTCATGAAGGAGCAAACTTTAAATATGTGTTCAACAGTAAATACATGTACATGTATGTTTAAGAACATACTGAATTATGATTATCTCCATAGTTTAGCAGCATCTATAAGTCAAACTACTAGAAGTTTAGCATATACAAATGGCTCATTTGAAAAGTTTGGCTTTAAATTGGAGTTTTTCTTGGTTTGGTTGGATACTCCATGCAGACAAGAGAAGCCATATACACCAGTACAATACTTAAGCAAATGCATAACTTTTAAAATTTGAATAGTACTGTTGGGACGCCTCACTGATTGAACTTAGCAGACTGATACGTCTTTATTTTGGATCCTGATCTTTCACCAGCCTTAGGCTGATGTCAAGAATGCTGAAGTAAATTCAGCACTTTTATGTTTCATGAGAATCTTTTATTTCACATTCCTTGTAAAAAGATAGATGATGCAGAGAATACTGTTTAGAGCATCTAACTTATAGATATATTTACTAAGGCAGCAAAAATAAGTTTAATAATGTTCTGGTTTTACAACTTTCATCAGAACATTATTAAATAACAAAATATAATGCTGAAGAGTCTGGCAGAATCAAAAAGAAACATCAAGAACAGGTGAATTAATTACCTCCCCATGTATGTATATACATGTAAATACATGCATATTCTTTACACTATTCACAAGATTAATAAGAAATATAAGAAATACAGTGCACGTGAATTGTAGAATGTGTATGTAATAACAGCACTGTCAAAGGGAAAGAACTGATTACATTTGTAGAAACTGAAATCCAAGGACAAATTTTTTGTAACATCACAAAGATATGAGCATCCTGAGGTCTTCTCTGGCTTGCATATAAAATATCAAATATCAAAAATAATACTCTTACTGTACTAAATATAGCACTTAAGATCCAGAAAAGTTGGAGCAATTTAAATACATATGCTATTAAAGTTAATCCTTCAAAAAAAGAAGGCATTAATAACTCTTTAAATGATCATATAGGTTAAATGCTAACCATAATCATTACACAGGTCTAAACCATTTTTTAGACCAGTTTTCCAAGTTATCCTGACACCCTTCCTTCCACCACGTACATCCCTACTTTGCCATGTCATTGATTATTGATTGCTGGCTGTGCTAGCTCACCCTGCTACCCCTCTTCCAAGGAGTAGTGGCGTTTAACCCTTCTGACCTAATCACTCCCTGTTATATCACTAAATTACATGTTTATTTTGTTACAAATCTACCTTCCAATTTTTGTTTTGATTCCACAGCAAAAGTTCAAGGACAAGTCTCCTTACAGCTTAATAGAAATGCTATAGCACAATCTAGGGACAAAGGAACAGACATTACCAAACAGATGCCACGTTGCTGCAAGCAATGACATCTCTGCATCAGACCCTGTCCTGAGTGTCGGTGACTCACTGTCCATGGTCAGGAAGAGGCCAGGGGAGAAAGGCAGAGCACAACAGGACTCTGCTCCTTCTGCTTTGTTTCCCAGCCTGGGCTGGAGGGAGAGAAGAGTCTGGGCCTGCCTGGCTCCTGTCCTGAAGGATATCCCCAGACCAGTAAGCCTGCACATGCTGTAGCTACTGCCTGCTCTCAGCACTGCTTTTGCTGATGCCCCACATGAAGAAGCTTTTCTTGTTCATAGCCATGTGCCAGCAGTTTTGTTGACCAGTCTCACTCAGCAACCTAGCTGTGCCTGTGACTTTTCTGAGCCGTTTATGTTGGGTGATCCACCAGATACCCTTTTCCCTACCAGCAAGCACAACTAAAGAAAAAAAAAAAAAAAAGCCCACAGAGCCTTGTTAGAACTCTGATGATACCCATCTCTTCACCTTTACCAACAATAGCTAGCTTCTGCTGCATGTATCTTGAGTTTCAACTTACTCACTGAATGGCTTTATGAAAGGCATGTAAAAACACAAGTATGAAACAGGAGAAATTTCATAAGGAGGGTTTCAAATGTAATCCTTTCTCCTTACCAAGGACTTTCAGAAAAATCTAACAGTTGTTCATCATATAACCAATTATTTTATAAAGAACTAATACAGCAAACAGAGCAAGCTTATCATGGTCACAATGGTTCTGGCTCAAGCTGAGACACTACTGCATTTTGCATGAGCCATAATGCACAATAAAACTTCTCCAGTAAGCCCTACCAGGAACTGCACAATCTGTCTTCATAG